CCTGGCTCTGTTCCTGGTTGCTGGGGAAGCCTGAGTCCCAGGCCTGCTTTGTTGGCTCACAGACAGCCCCAGGTCTGCTGCAAGGGAGGGGAGCCTGGCCATGGCTAAGGCTGCTGTCCACAAGGAGCTGTCAGGGCTGGAAGTATCGGAGTCCCAGGAGTGGTGGGGAGAGATCATGGCCTGGAGCTGGGGGGCGGGGCAATGTGAGATATAGGGAGAGAGGGAGAGAGTGACTGACTGAAATATAACAGAGGAGAAGCTAAAAACAAAGTAGATTTTTTATTAAGTCTTTAAAATAGTTAACTCAAATATTTATTCCTAAATTCTGAGATGCAGAAGGTAAGACCGGAGAAAGAGAGGAAAGTTAATAAATGAGAAGGAAAATAACTACTTAATAATTATAAAGGAGATAGGAATTATAGGGGAAGACATCAGAAGAAAGAAATGAGATATGCATGCAGGACAGGTAGGTGCTATAGTGCAGTTGCTCCCAACCTTTTTGAGCATACGAACCCCTTTTCAGTCTATTACAATGTTATGGACTCCCCTCCCCCAAACAATATAGTTGTGTGTGCAGCCTGCACATCCCTTCAGCCCATGCTGCTTCCAAGCGGTGTCCCTCAGCCTGCTGGGGGAGCAGCGCGGGAAGCAACGCAGGTTGAAGGACGTGCTGGCTTTGAGAGGCTCCACGCAGACCCCTTACAGTTCTGCTATGGAGTCTCAAGGGTCTGCGGACCACAGGTTGGGAACCACTGCTGTAGTGTATGTAAAAGGTTAAAGAATAAGCAAATGAGACTACAGAATATAAGAAAATAGTAATTGGGGGAAAAAAATAGTAGCAAAGGACTCTGAAAGTGCTGAAGACATCTAGAGCTCATTGTTGAAAACCTGACAAATTCACTGTCTACTGTGGGACTTGTTTCTAGGAAGTGATCCAGATACAATAAATAAGGCAGTGTTTTGTGAACATTCTAGAAATGGCAATTATATAATCTGACTCTGTTCATTGGGCTAGGAACCCAAAGCAGTAGCACAAAAAGATGGGGTTTACAAAAGTCTGACGTGGAATAAATTTGAAGTGAGATGATGAAAACTGATTGGAATCCACCAATTCACTAGATAGACAGCTTTAAGAGTCTCTTGGATACATGCCTGCATGATTTAAAAAGGAGCATATGTGAGGGTGTTTAGCACCAGAACGAGACAGAAGAAAGCAAAAGAAAGCAGAATTTCTGGTTTTTAATCTGAACTAAATGACAACAGCTACAGCCAGAAAGGCTGCTGCTTCTGCAGCATCCAACAAAACAACTGAGTATGGTAAATTGTACCAATTACATAAAGCGCTGAGAGTTTTTCTTGCTGCTTGCACATCCTAGAATATGTAACCATACGGGGAGGAGGCCAAAATCAAATGTGCCTTTTTTAAAAATCCATTTAATCGAATCTGGGATCACAAAAACGAAATTACTTTAGTTCTAATCCTATGGTTATGGCATGGTGTCGCTATAGGTGAAACAATCCCTGCAATTTTTTGACCTTACATTACAGATATATACTGTCCACCTTAGGTCTATTTTAATATAGTTTTTGTCTGGGAATTATCTAATGATTCATTAGTGTCCTGTATGAAATACATTTCATGCTCTTAATCTTAGTTTATGGTGGACAGATGTTCACATCAAAGAAAAAATGGAATTGGCACCAGTTGACTCCACAGTTGGCAGTTTCAATAGAGAAACTAAGGACTGAATGAGCCTTAAAAGTCTGGACTCTTTGATCAGCCACACTTCCTTCCTGGTCTACAGGAAAGATTGCCCTGCTGATGCTTCAAGTGCTGTACCTGCTCTAAAGCTAAAGCATCAGAAGGCATTAGTCTTGAGTACGTTATCAATCTACCTTTCACCAGCACCAATTTGACTTATTTTTTATTATGTATAGTTATTTTCTCATATATAGTCTGTTCATGCTAAAAGGATAGACTTGGCACTGCTATTTAATAAGAATATAATAAACTGAAGAGTGTGAGAAGGGAGAAAGGATATAACTGAAGATAACTACACCAAAACTAAATCCTAAAGGATCAAAGGGAAAAGCATTCAAATATATATACTTAAGCACTAAGCTTTTACTGCAGTCAACCATTTGTTCTGTACATGCTTAGATTAATATGGGAGATTAATTTGTTAATTTTACCAGGCAGCAGAAGAGCAAGAGAAAGAGAAAGAAAAAGACAAAGGGAAAGCTAAACCTCCTGGTAAGAAGGAAAAGCCAGCCAATGCCAAATCTGCAGGAAAAGGAGGAAAGGGAAAGAAAGCCGAAGTAGTACCAACAACAATTACTGTTAAAAAGGACACAACACTAAAGCGCCGGGGAGAAGAGGAGGAAGATTACAAATACTTGGGTAGGAAAGGCATATGTACCCCTCCCAGCAATATTCAACAGTTTTGTACTTTAACTGGTGTTACCAAACAGTTCAGTTTAAACACAGCACTGGATTAGTTTAGTGAATATACTTATTTTATATTTACTCTATGAACAGAGATTTTAAGTGGGTACAAGTATAAGGCATTAAAGTCATAAATGGTTACAAGAGAAATGAAGATAAAATGCTTTCTAATAGCTAGAACTTAATCTAGAATTGTTTCAAAGTAAAATTCTTCCACGTGTTACCAGCAATAAGGCTGATCAAATTCTCAGGTCAGGCTCTCCCGCAAGGTAAGAGGGTGAGTTTCTTAGTCATTTTAGTTAAAAAAGAGAGACTTTGAAGTGTTGTTGCTCTTCACTTTTATAATCCAATCATCCTTTGAAGTAGATTCTTCAGAGGATTAGTCCTCAGGACATAGTTTATTCACTTGGGCTTTGTCTACACTGCAGGGTTTTTGCAAAAGCACGTCCACATCTCAAAAGCACATTGCAAAAGCTATGTGCTTTTGCGTAAAAGAGCGTCCACACTGCCTAGACACTCTTGCTCAAGAAAGTTTGGATGGCCATTCAGAAGCTCCTGTGCTTTTTGTGATAGGCTCTTTTTGCACAAGAAACCCCTGTTTCCTGTCTCCACACACCTTTTTTGCAAGAACTCTTGCGCAAAAAGGAGTTATGCCTTGTAGAAGGAGTTATACTTACACTGTAAAAAGCCCTCTGTTCTGTCAGTTGACTGTAGATTTTCTTGTGCAAAAACGCGCTTCAGGTGTGGACGTTCTGCGGGTTTTTGCACAATAATCCTGTAGTGTAGACATAGCCATAGTAAAGAACCATAGAATCATAGAATACTAGGACTGGAAGGGACCTCAAGAGGTAATCAAGTCCAGTCCCCTGCCCTCATGGCAGGACCAAATACTGTCTAGACCATCCCTGATAGACATTTATCTAACCTGCTCTTAAATATCTCCACAGATGGAGATTCCACAACCTCCCTGGGCAATTTATTCCAGTGTTTGACTACCCTGACAGTTAGGAACTTTTTCCTAATGTCCAACCTAAACCTCCCTTGCTGCAGTTTAAGCCCATTGCTTCTTGTTCTATCCCCAGATGCCAAGATGAACAAGTTTTCTCCTTCCTCCTTATGACACCCTTTTAAATATCTGAAAACTGCTATCGTGTCCCCCCTCAACCTTCTCTTTTCTAAACTAAACAAACCCAATTCCTTCAGCCTTCCCTCATAGGTCATGTTCTCTAGACCTTTAATCATTCTCGTTGCTCTTCTCTGGACCCTCTCCAATTTCTCCACATCTTTCTTGAAATGCGGTGCCCAGAACTGAACACAATACTCTGAGGCCTAACCAGTGCAGGGTAGAGAGGAAATTGTGTCTTTTCAATTTGGCATCCTCCATACTGTCTGGGGTCCCGGGAGTAAATAGTTCATTCACATGGAGTTGTGCCAACATAAAGTTTTGGAACCCTCTGCTTTAACTTTTGAGATCCTGAGTGTCTCCTTTCTGAAGCCCCGTGCTAGTTTCTCAGTTTTCCTCAGGTCATCCTCAGCATCTGGTACACTAAGGTAGGACTCTCTTTGTTTTAACACTTCACAGCAATGTGTCCATCCTGACCACAACTGTAGTAGAAGAATTGTCTTCTCCCCTTTGGCTCTTAGAGGGTACTGACTTTTAATGCTGTAGTCTTGTTAACCACAGCATTTGGTTCCTTGTGCCCTGAAGTCTTAAATAAGTTGAGAATGGAATGAGGTTCACAGATACTGATTCTCTGTGTTAACTAAGGTTTTATTACAAGGGAAAGGAACACAGCATTAATTTGGGAAAATAACTATCTGTTTGTACAAATAAGTAAAACATCCACCCTCATATATTTGGCCTTAGTCCTTTGTTTCCCACTTTCTGATGTGAATGTCCAATGGACAGATGCTCCTTTCACATATACTTGACCCACTTCCCTTTCTGTGCACCTCATACACAGTTAGTTGGCAGTGTTTAGTGATCTCTAAGAGTCAAGTCCCTTTCCAGCATTCCAGTGGGAAATGCTGCTTGATTTCCATAAAGAGAGACCTTGTCACCAGTACTGCTTCTACCTTCAGTGCTGACTCTGCATCATCTCTGTGGCATATAGGACCATTAACTGGAGCTTGCTACCAAGGACTGCTTCTCACTACAAAGTTGCTTCTTCCTCTCTGTCTTGCTTAAATCCATGTTCCATTCCCTGGCACTGCCAGACAGAGATTTTTGGTTAGGATGACTCTTTGTTTTTCTGGTGCATAGCAATGATAATAGTTCATTACCTCACACCCAATATGTAACTGAATTTTAATCAGAACAACCAAAATGTTCAAACTGAGAGGATGGGTAACATGTAACTAAGGTCTGCTCAGTTTCTGTTCCTTCAATTTTCAAATGGATGGCAGCAGGGAGGGATTCTCAAACTTCATTGCACCATGATCCCCATCTGGCAACAAAAATTATTTCCTAGCTCCAGAAGAAGGGACCGAAGCCTGAGCCTACCTCTCCAAGTAGGGGGAACCAGAGCCCAAGGGCTTCAGCCCCATTTGAAGGTGCCTGTAACCTCAGGGCTAAAGCCCAGATGAGGCTTTGGCTGTCACCCTGAGCCCAGCAAATTTAATGCCAGCCCTGGTGACCCCATTAAAACGAGGTCATAACTCACTTTGGGGTCCCAACCCACAGTTTGACAACTGCTGCACTAATGAATAGCCTTTTGTCATACACTGGATAGTAGCTCTAAAGTGGTGTAAGAAGTATGTGTAACCGGCATGTCTACACTAGGAAATTATTTCAAAATAACTTATTTCAAAATAATAACTCCTGAAATAACAATTCCAAAATAGTGTGTCCACATTACAGGGAAGCCTTGAAATTAGTCCGAGGCAGGCTCCCTTAATGTGGATGCACTACCTCGACTTAGATCCCCAGGAAACACTGGGGAGTAATTATTTTGAATTACTTTGAAATAACAGCAGTGGAGTGTCCATATTGACACTATTTCGAAATGAGCATTATTCCTCGTGGAAAACAGCAATTATTATTTTGAAATAACCAGCCCCGTATTTTGAAATAACGGGCTTGGTAGTGTGGACAGAGTAGACCAGGGCTAAGAGTCAACTAGTACAGCATTGTATTTACTATTCAGCAGTACACATTAAGGTGCAGAGAGAGGACTTAATCCTGCAAATTGCTGAGTGCTCTAATCCAACCTAGCAAAGCACTTAAATACATGTTTAAATTTAAACATGTAATAGTCCCAATTACATCATGTATTCAAGTGTTTTACTATATTGGCTCAGAGTGCTCAGCACTGTTTAGAATTGAACCCTGTATGAGGTAAGGCTCACTGTATATTGCACTTAATTTCCAGCAGCATATGGTAGAACCTCAGTGTTATGAACACCAGAATTATGATCTTACCTGTCAATCACACACCTCAGTTGGAACCAGCAGTACTCAATGAAGGAGCAGCAGAGAAAAAAGTAAAAAAGTATGTGTTAAATGTGAACTACTAAAAAAAATGGGAAGTATTATTTTTCTTCAGCATTGTAAAGTTTCAAAGCTGTATTCAGTCAATGTTCAGTTTTAAATTTTGAAAGAACAGCCATACCCATGCTTTCTTCAGACATTTCACAGTTACAAACAACCTCCATTCTCCAGGTATTAATAATGCTGAGATTGTGCTCTACTGTTTTGCCTTTTACTAGTGAATTAAGATGGCACCTACAAAAGCTCTGCTTCAGTCAGTACGTATGTTCACTTCATTTTCCCCAAGCAGTAAACTCAACTATGCGTGCATGAGCGCTGCAGCCTTCTTTCATTTAGAACACTTGGAGGCTGTTATTAAAAAAGCATTTTAGCTGTGTGAAAAAATATTCCTGCACATGTTCAAACTATAACTGGCGAACCAAAAGAATGTGGGCAAATCAAAAATCCATTTTTCACCAGAACACTGAAAAGTGCCTATCCTCCCACAGGACACATCTTGTCACATTTCATTTTCTTGCCCTCATCCGCTTAGATGCTAAATCAAAGTCAAAGACTTTTTATGATGTAGAAAATGTTCCTTTTCCATTTCCCTCCCTCAAAAAAAAGTTCAAATATTTTTGTTCATGCTTTCCTAAAAAAATTCGCTGTTGGACAGTAATTGTTTCATGTGCCATATGCTGGGTAAGATCAAGATAGCACTACATGTTTCGGAAACTAACCTGACTCTCTATTAAGAGAGGTATTTACAGAGATGCTGCAACTGCAGCTACACATTCTTGCCATGTGCAGACATATTGATTTCCTGGTGCCTCCTCCAAATTCTTTGTTTCTGCAAGCAGTGCTCTTCCCTACAAGTTTCATGAAGGTTGCTACAGAAATCACCTGGAAAATTTCAACCTGAAAGAGGGAAGCTCAGAAAATTGTATGCATCAGAATTAAAAGGGGTTACAATAGAAATACTCACATAACCTAAATTATAGCTATTGCTATGCAGTTGAGATATTATATACTTTAATATAGCAGCTGAAATTATATATTCCAATGTCCTTTTGTAATGTGATTGGTGATTTTGATATTTTTGAACAGATGATGAACCAGACGATGGTGCCCAATATTACTACATAGTTTTGGGTTTCCACAATCCTCAGTTATTGCCTGTGCTCTCTGAGCTTGGAGTCAGTATTTCAAATGTAATTAAGATTTCTTCTGAAAATTATGAACCATTGGAGACATACTTGTCAGGAGCTAAGTTGGAAGAAGAATCATTACTTATACCTGAGGGTAAGTTAGTGATAGGACAAATAGCCTTTATAAAATCCTAAATATTCTATTTTTAATATTTAGATTCTTATCCATTCTTAACCCTAATCTGAGTGTCTGTGCTCTTTTTTTGTTTGTTTGGTTTGGCTTTTTTTGTTTTGTTTTGTTTTGTTTTTAGTTTTAAATATCTAGGCCTACCGGAAGAAATGAACTCAGTATTGGTATGCCACTATATAGGAGCCTGCCGGTTCACTGCTTTCACATTTGTCTCTAGTATTGGTGGTATATGCTTTGCCTTGCAGTATCCATGAAGTGTACTATGATATCACTACTATTAGAGATGGGAAATTTTCTTGTCCCATATTTACAGAAGAAGAGAGTTAGCAATATTTTTCTCCTCTTAATTTTCTTGCTCACTCCCTTCTTTCCCTGGTTTTCTTAATCTTACATTGAATAATAATTAAGTAGTGGCATCTAGCCAGTGTAACAACCCCAAATCTTGAGTAAATTGTCTATGAAGCTTTTTAAAACATTTATCCGTTATAGTAACTAAAGATGCATCTTCACCTCTTTAAGACTGATGGAGTCTAAGAAACATTGGTGGAGTCAAAGAATAAATTCCATGATCGGATCCATTTACCAGAATTAAAGTGCCACTAATTGTCAGTTTATTTGTGAAGTTTGTCAATTTTTTAGACACAGATCTTTGGCTAAAAATTCAAAATGTGCTCCTTTGGTGGCAGTACCGTGTGCAGTAAGCTGATGGGGCAGTATTTACTCCATGAGTAAAACCATTTGGTAGACTTCTTGAATTCAGTTGATTGATTATTGTAGAGTTTCTGTAGACTCTGTACAAAAGGAAAAAAAAAAGCTCTTTATAAGTGACCCAAATCAAAGATTGAGGCAAATGTTCTCAAGCACTTGCCTGCTGCTTTTTACCTAGTATGGCATAGAAATCCCAGTCCTAACATGCTGTAGCTATAGCTGAAAGATGGGCATGATAGATGACATAGCAGCACACAGAATTGCGTGAGGTCTCTGTCAAAGTTTTTTTTGAGTGAGTCATTTCTCATGATTCAGTTGACCTTTTCTGATTATTTCAAGATCATGCTATGTTTGTAAATACATAAAAACATCTTTGAGTGACAGACAGACTTTAAATGGCTTTCATTTATTATTTGGTCATATATGAAGTTGCTCTGGAGGAGCGGGGCGGCGGGGAGCCCTGTGGACACCGCCCCGAGCTGGGAGCCCCGTGCCCGGCTGCTCGGAGCCTGCACCTAGGGCAATGGGTGCTCTGCGCGAGCAGCTCCAAGGCGCGGCCCCTACTGGGGCACTTCCTGGAGGGTGGCACGGGGCGGGTGCTGCTGCTGGTGACGCTGAGCATGGAGGCTCTTCTTCGCCTTTGAGTGAGTGCCCCCTCCGCCCGTGTGGCCCCCCCATCTGCCCCCCCTCCTCCTGTACCCCCCCCCCCCGCAACTCT